CTGAACGCAAAAGGTCTGCTCGTGACAAATTAACAGTTGTTATCGCCTTTGCAGTGTCGGCGTTGCGGAAAGGTTGCGTAGTTAATCGCGACTGTCTGGTTGCATTCAGACGATGTCGATTTTTGAGACGAACCACAAAAGAATTACAATGTTTTCCTATCCTGTCTGGGTCTGGCGTTCGCCCTTTTTTTTTTTTTTTTTTTTTTTTTTTTTTAAGAAAATTGGCGCGCTGCTGTGTGGGTGGGCTTGTTTAAATTTTATGCAAAATTAAATAATGTAAAAGCTAAAGAGGTTAGCTAATTTTCGGTACCACGCTTTGCGAAATATGTAACAAGATAAACAAAATAAACGTATTGCAATAAACATGTATACACGCACAAGGGTCTCGTCTCCCTGCCCGGAATCTATGATATGCCCCCCCCACGCCGCCAATTTCAGTGCATTTCAATTTTCATAAGGTAATATTCAATACATATTTTATTATAACCTAATTATGTACCATAACGGATAATAAACAATTTGGGCCTTGTACCACATTTTTTTTGTATTTTTACAAAATAAATATTCTCCTCTTTTGCGATACACCGACTTTATGAATTTAATAGCAGTACTACATTGGCGGCAAGGTCTCATCATTTTCCAGTCGAAATGGCTAGAGGTAACCTTCTTCTATTGTAAGTTTCTTCTCTTGCTTGTGGAACTCTTTTCTGTTTTCTTTCTTTCCAGCCAAATTTGATCCTCAAAAATTTAAATGCAATGTCGATCGTAAACTTCTGTCTTCTTCTTTTCTCTTTCTTTCAGCGTTCTGGCTCCTTGATAGAGTTTTTCTTACATTTTTTCCACGCTGAATAACCCCCCGACGCATATTAGTGACGTCGCGGTATTTACTCATTCCCCCACGAGAATGAGATGTGACACAAGGTCGGATTAATGTGGGGACCCGAGCGCGTACACTCGGGTAGGGACAAAAATTCCCCTCAGCTCAAGCAACCGTCGGTTGCGCTGGCCTCGGTGCGAGCACCGATCCCTCCCTCTGGTGCAATGGGAGGGCGCGGCCTCGGGCAGCTGTTCCCCAGGGCTGGGCACCTCTTCAGTATTATTTTCTCAATTTTGCCCCTCCGTCCTTAGACAGACAAGCCCCTGAGAGCACTCTGTCCAAGGACAGAGACGCAACTGAGAGAATAGTGATTTTCCAAACGTTGTTTGGATGTGGCACAAGGCCGAAAGTAAGGGGCACACTTGTCATTCATAATTGTCCTAGCGAGACAAGCTTGCTAACCATTACACCATCTCGAGGTGCCCAAATGATTTTCTAAGCGCTGCTTAGATGTGGCACAGGGCCGGAAGCATGGAGCACCCAGTGAGGATCGAACTCACTACACAGTCATAATATGTTCTAGAAAGACAAGCTTGCTAACCATTACACCACGCCGAGGTGCCCAGGAATATTAGTGGCGTCGCTGTCTTGCTTGGAGTGGAATAAGTAAAAACAAAATAAAGAACTGCTTTGTTACACATTGATATGGATTTAGGCGATGTTTCGGATTTAGTCTTTCGAAATTTGGATCCATGCGTTTTTTATGACATCCCTCAATACTCAGGGACTGCTTGGCTGCACATCCAAAATTCGTATTTCAAACAAAATGTGCTCTATGAGATTCGGATCCGCTGATTGTAGGGGCCACTTTAAACACATAAAACTCTTTGCTGTGTTCTATGAATCAAATAGCCACTAATTTTGAACATACATTCTCACAGTACCTTTGACTAACCATAACGGCGCAAGTAAGCTCCTGCCTCCTATAAGCTAGATTCTTTTTTTTCTGTTTCTACTTGAACTACAGAACGACCTTCACTATCAAATGACTCCATAATAATATATGAATAAAATATGCATGAAACGTCCTAATATTAGTAAAAATTAATTGTATTCTGGGAATAATAACTTGATGAAGGGAGGGATAATAAATATCCTGCATTGTTATGCGTCACAGTTGAAATCTTTTGGCGGGACAAATCAATTTGACAGAAAACGAAGTACTATATAAAAACATTCATAATTAACAAAAGCAACAATGAATAGGAAGTAGGTAAAATTTGTGTATGAAGAAAGAAAGAAAGAAAGAAAGAAAGAAAGAAAGAAAGAAACTGAAAAGAAATTATATAAAAGGCCGAAAAGAAAAAGAAGAAAAAACAAAGAATAGAAATGAAATGACAGAAAGAGAAGAAATGAAAAGAAAGAAAGAATAGAAATAAAAATAAAGAATAGAAATGAAGAGAAAGAAAGAATAGAAATGCAATAAAAAGAAAGAATAGAAAGAAAAAGAAAGAAAGAATAGACATGAAGAGAAAGAAAGAAAAGAAAAGAAAAGAAAAGAAAGAAAGAATAGAAATAAAAAGAAAGAAACAAATACAGAAAGAATAGAAATGAAAAGAAAATAGAAAAGAAAGAAAGAATAGAAATGAATAGAAATAACGTAAAAGACATGTAAATTACAGGGATTAAAGAAAGAACAAGAAGGAAAAGTAATTTTTTTTTGTTTCTTTTTTTTTACAATGATATTCACCCTTTACAAGACCAAAGAACCACTCGTGGTAGACGGTTACTGAGTAAAAGGCACGGTCCGTGGGTTATATATATGGGGAAGATAACGTTTAACCGTAAATTTGACCAGCTTAAGATTGTAGTAATTGTGGAAGCATCCTCTTGGAAGTCTATATAAAGATTTTGAACAGACTGAGATAGATAGATAGAAGCAGATAGATAGATAGATAGATAGAAACAGATAGATAGATGCAAAGAATGCACAATTCTATTGTGCATGGAATTCTTCAAGAGCTATTAGGTTGGTGCAAAAATAATGTCGTTTTCTCTTTTGAAGTTGGACGTCAAAAAACCAACCTAATATTATACTGTTAAAAAAAAATTAAATATCTGAACCAGCCATATGTATTATATCCATTTTTATAAAAGTGTTAAAATATTTTTTTCGATAGTTTCTGCAAAAATTCCCCATAAATCCCGAATAAAACAGGGTTGGGTAGCTATTTCCCGAGACGAGACTCTGCCCTTCGACATAGCCTCGTCTTGGGATCCTTTCTGCCCGGAGGAAGAGAGTTTAGCCAGCACAGTTGGAACAGATTTATTCGACTGTTAATATTTAACAGCTCGCCACGAGGGATGTATGTGGCACACGGCCAAGTTTACCGTGGGTTCTCCGAGCCCGTAGGCTCGGCCAAAACTATTTCCTTAGAACCCGTATAAACAGGTTCAGGGACTGTCTACCTCCCCGGACGAAACTTTGCCCTTCGGCAAAGCCTCGTCCGGGTTCCTCTCTGCTCAAGGCAGAGAGTTCGACAGTTTGAACAATCTGTTCGACTGTTATATTTAACAGTCCCCCCCCCACAAAGAATGTATGTGGTACAAGGCCGAGTTAAAAGTAGGTTTCTCCGAGCCCGTAGACTCGGCTAAAAATATTCCCTTTGAACCCGCCTAGACGGGTTCAGGGCCTGTCTATCACCCCGGACGAAACTTTGCCCTGCGGCAAAGCTTCGAGTCTCTGTCAAGGCAGAGAGTTTGACAGTTGAAAAATCTATGCGACTTTTAATATTTAACAGCCACTCAACCCCCACGAGGGTTTATGTGGCACAAGGCCGGTTTATTGTGGGTATTACGAGCCCGTAGGCTCGGCCAAAAATATTTCCTTTGAACCCGCCTAAACGGGTTCAGGGCCTGTCTACCTCCCCGGACGAAACTTTGCCCTGTGGCAAAGCCTCGTCCGAGTTCCTCTCTGCCTTGGCAGAGAGTTCGACAGTTGAACAATCTAGGCGACTGTTCCCCAAAGGCCTTCTCTCCTACTGATCTTATAGGAGGCGGAAGAGTCCAACATAGACTCTTTAGAGGGATGACACCACAACACTTTCGTCCAAAGTTTAATCTCTTATTGTAGCTTTCTTTTAATGATTTCACACCAAGAAGGCTACAATGCCACTAAGACGCAAGGAGCCTACTTGGAGTGAAAGATAATGAGAAGACTTTAGAAGGAACAAGAAATCCGGTCTTAAATAATGAACAAAGAATAAACCTGTCCAAAAGGCCGGCGAGGTGTATGAATCAGACGTTAGGCAAACTATTTACTCTTACTGAGAAGAAAATTAAATTAATAAACAACATTTCCGAGTTCAGGCCGAGATATGAGAAGCATAGAGTTGACTTAACTTTAGAAGGAACCGGAAACATAATCCTAAACTGGAAATACGCCTTTACTTCTATTCAAAACACTAGAGAGGAGTGTGAACCGAACGATGAGTGAACCTATCTACTCATATTAAACTAATTTAGAATTTAAACTTTCTCATTAGATTCTTATTGATTGATTCTACGGTTTATCAACCCTTTGCAGGTTATTTAAAGCCAAAAAATAGTTTTAGATTATGAGAATTTTGTGCGGAGATAATAATGACTTAGTGATAAGTCATACTATTTAAACTATAGCGAGGAGGAGAAGAGGTGAATTTATATCTAATCAGAATTTGAAAAAAAAACAAAGTAATTATAATGCGGATATAAAGTGGGTGATCAATTTTATATTATAATCAATATAAAAACTGATCCCTCACTTTGTGGTCACGGTAGCTTCTATATTTATATTCTAAAGAATGTAAATAAATCTGAAAGACATGTCTGTGTAGCTAATCCTGTGTTTCATTGATCGATCGATTTGTTTTCTAAGGCTTATTAACAATTTTCAGGCTATTTAAAGCCAGAATATATTTTTAGATTATAAGAATTTTATTTTTATTTCTTTTTAGATAATAATGGTTTGGTGATACAATTCTTACTAATTAACCCATAGGTGGGAGGAGGAAGAGGTGGTTTCATACTTTTCTTTATAGTATTTGCGCGTAAGTGAATATAACGAACCCAACCGGAATTGGAACTCGGCTCTCTGGTTAACAATTCCGAGCCATTATCCATTACACCATCCCACATCCAAGCTTATAGCGCCTGATATTCCCAAGCAGTCACCCATCTAGGTACTGACTTGGTTCGACGTTGCTTAACTTCGGTAATCGTACGGCAACCGATGTTTCAACGTGGTGTGGTCGTAAGCTTTCTCATTGGTATGTATAGGAAACGTTTAGTATTCATAAGGTTGGTATCATCAGCAGTCAGAGGCATTCCCTGGATTCTTAGGATGTATCTCCTGCGGTTGAGGCTGGACTATTGTCTTTGCTCATCTCGAATCCAGTGGTACGGGGGAGTTGCCCTAATTGTGTTGACATGTATTCTGAAGATTTATTGACTACGAAATAACATCGTTAAAGCGGAAATCTTAAAACTCGTCGATCGGAAGCTTCGAAGGTAAGGAGCCAAAATATGTGGTCAAGTACATGCAACAACGGAAATTTGTCTGACGTTCATGAACGATTTTTCCAGAATGCAAGGACGAAAGCTAAGTATGTAATATTTACAGCAAAAAAAAATGTCAACATTTTCCGACAGTTGATATTGCTTTTATTGTCTTGTTAGCAGCCGGATATGCGGATGTGTGTGGGTGACAATGTTATTGCATATTCGATCTCAATGAATTATTGTTTTGGGGATATTTTCTTCTTTTTTTGACTTTTTTTTTTCTTTTCTTTTTTTTTTTTTTTTTCGACATTTGATAAAAAAATACCGATCCGTCATTTAGCGTGTCTCCAAGTACAAGTTTGATTATAGTTAGTTTTATAAACCGCGTAACAAATTGTAACATCAAAGTCAAAATAACGTCATGCACAATACACAAGAATAAGATTTAGGGCTATTGTGCTTAACTTGTATCAATGGAGTCAATGCTATGTACAGTGATCCACATCAAAACAGTTGTTCTTATACATTGTCAACTTGTGTCATACACACTTTTTTCGCTTTAATGTTATGTTTCAATATGCCTTTATATATATATATATATATATATATATATATATATGTGTGTGTGTGTGTGTGTGTGCGTGCGTGTGTGTGTGTGTGTGGCCTTTTGAAAATAAATAAATAATTGTTATAATTCTTTTTCTATCCTTTGCAAATGATTCAAATTTTAGTATGTTATTATGGATGATAACGACTACCAGTTGTCAAACTTTCAGCTTTTCACAGTTGTTACTTCTAACAAATATTAGGTTTTAAAATTTTGTCCCTTAGTTTTGGACGCTACTGTATATATTCTACAAATTTTGCACTATATTATTTTTGGACTATGAAGCAGCATCTCTCCCGTGTGTCATCTGTGTATTTTTATTTTGTGCCCGATGAGCAGAAAAATTAAGTTGCACACCTGCACATGTACCATTATTAATATATATCTTTGGTCTTTCTAACCACATCGAGCGCTATTATGTTTACACAACTTGGCTAAATTTCATGGTTATTTATTTTCTTGCCTGTGTATACGGTTGCCTATATCTGGCCATTTGATTTACCTTACTAACTCTCTCTCTCTCTCTCTCTCTCTCTCTATATATATATATATATATATATATATATATATATATATGTATCTCTCTCTCTTTCTCTCTCTATGTTAGATTAAATAAAAACAACTTAACCTCAATACCTTGTCAGTCGTTCTTGATGATTTTTTTATAACACACACACACACATACATACATATATATACAGTCGAAGAATTTTGATTATTACCACACACAAACTACAATGGTTACCACCAACTACAATGGTTAAACCACAGACAAACTACAATGGTTAAACCTAAGAAAACAAGGAAAAAATGAATTCCATTAAATAATATTTGGAAATAACCATTCATCACCTGAGGAAGGTCACCAGATCCGAAACATGTGTGGCAAAAATATGGAAGTATAATATATTTTTTAAAAATTCACATTATAACCAAAAAACGTTTGCGGCTTCTCTCTTCTCTTTAATGAATTTGTAGGATCGTGATTACGATTCCAATGTAATAAATTATAAGCATGGAATATTAGTGTTTGAGCCTTTTATATTATATTATATTATATTATATATATATATATATATATATATATATATATATATTGATCATTTCAAAATAAGCAAGGCAATAAAGCCACTAAGACGAATGGGTTAGTGACTTTTAGAGAATAAGAGAAAATACTATTAAGGAGAGAGAACAATAAAAGAATAAGAATTGAGAAGACAGGAGATAACGATTGATATTGCATCTAAATTTTTGAAGATCAAATTTGACTGGGAAGCAAGAGACTGTGTCCTGTAGCATTGAGTGGCAACCAGTCTAGGAGAAGGAAAACTCTGAATACAAAATCGCGTTGGGCTTCGTCAGGCTATCTGCCCAGGAAACACAACGGCTACTGTCGCGGCAGTACACGTGATGTTCCTACGGGCCTAGAGGGATACCTGTTTGAATTAAAATAAAAAGCAGGGCAGACTGTGTCCTGAATCCTTGGGTAGTAACCGGTCTAGCAGAAGACAATTCTGAATTCAAAATCGTATGTAGGCCTGGCGAAAAGCATATTATGCTGGACAGGAAGGGGTCGTGGATGTTACAATGACTCTATGATCCCGACTGTGGTGCGGATATGCATGTCTAAAAAAGAGAGTCGATCAGAGATGATGAAATGGGTAGGCTTCATTCAACCAAATCGTTAATATTTCTATTTCCTCTCAGGATTGTAGGATGACAAAGCAAATTCTGAACTCATATACAGAAATACATTGCTTATGTTTTCATGTAAATAATAAAATAAAATAAATTTAATGCTTGTTATTTCTATAGCCAGTGATATAAGTTCTATCAGGCAAATACGTCAAATCATTGATTCACTCGAATGATCACAGGAAATACTCAGAGTATATATAGAAGTGCACTGAAATTTAATTTAATAAAGGGATGAACAGGAAATAATTTATTTTAATATGAAACTATTTATAGTGTAGCTTAGATGTGGCACAAGGCCGAAAGTATGCGGAACCCAGTGAGGATCAAACTCACTACTCAGTCCTAATTGTTCTAGCGAGACAAGCTTGTTAACCATTACACCGCCTCGAGGTGTCTAATACGAAACTATTTATATAACTGGTGGGAACATAGATAGGATTTAATAAACAAATGTGTCAAAACTTGGTTTCACTTTAATGGTTGCATATATTGCGATGGATGAATTGTCGTCTAAATTACGCAACAATGATAATAACACTGACATCTCATTTTAACAGATATATTTACCAAAATTACACAATAATATTTTGAAATATTAAAGAGTAAATTTATTCAATAAAATCACCGTTGACTACAACCTCGGCATCAAGACGACTTCAGAATCTCCTGCAACTCGTCCGGACGGTCTCCATCTTTAAGTTGGATAATCATTGCCTTCCGTTCATCTTTGGTGTTACAAGGAGTTTTGTTGGTCTCCCGCTCAACTCCGCCTACACATAATAATCAAGGAGTTTGCAGCCTGGGGAGTTAGGTGGCCAGATGTAAAGGGTGATGTGGTTGTAGAAATTGTCTGACAGCCATGACTGAGTTCCCCTGTTTGTATGGCATGGTGCAGAATCCAGTTGCCAGACATAGGGTCTTCTAGCAACCATCCGCTTGACACATGGCAGCACTACCTCCTAAAGGCACTTGATGTAGGCCTCCGTGTTGAGTCTGAGGCCTTGTGAGAAGATGAATCGTGCCATAACGTCACCATCACTAGTAATTGCTCCAAAAACCTTCGTAATCACCATTAAACTCATCCTACTCTTTCCGAATCTTCTGCGCTGTTCTCATACTGACACCTAAACACTCTGAAATGTTCATATTAGAGTTTCCGGTGCCAATGCCAAGCAATACAGCATGTCGTTTCAAATTTCTGGTGGAGTGAGTTGCATCGTGGTACTTTCTTTCCTCATAGAGGGTGTCCAGCTGACCCTAGTATAGCGTGTAGTCGACAAAATCAAAAAGAAACAATGCGCATGCGCGAAATTAAAAATACAAAATGGCGACAATTAACCCATCGCACCCTGTAGAGTAACACAGCAAATACTAACATTGCATATGGGATTGCATTGGAAGTTATTTTAACACGAGCTATCTATATAAACAGTTTGGCTACATATAGGATTTATTGAATAATTATTTTTAAAGTTTAATTCACCCTAACGATTATATTTACAGTGCCACAATTAATAGTAAAATCACAGAGAAATCCAATACAAATGATCTGACAACAGAAATGTATTTAAACTAATTTGATAAAAGGAATGCATTTGTAATGATTTAACTACAGTAATGTATTTCAAATAATTTAACTAAGGAATGAATTTCAAATTATTTCACTATGGGAATGCATTTTAAATGCTTTGCCGACATGATTCATTTCAAATGATTTGACTATAGGAATACCTTTTACATGATTTGCCCACAGGAATGCATTTTAAATGATTTAAGTATAGAAATTAATCTCAAATGATTTGCCCAGAGGAATGCATTTCAAATGATTTAAGTATAGAAATGCATCTGAAATGATTTGCCCACAGGAATGCATTTCAAATGATTTTAAGTATAGACATGCACCTCAAATGATTTTCCCACAGGAATGCATTTTAAATGATTTAAGTACAGAAATGCATCTCAAATGATTTGCCCACAGGAATACATTATTAATATCTTTTCAACAATCATGCAATTTTTAAGAATCATGTTACTTTTCGACAAACATATTTCATCAAGAAAACTAATCTATCGTGATATTTGATTGAATTGTAATGCAATGGCATTCAAATTTGTTACCATTAGAATTGTTATGTCTTTTCTTGTTTTGAATAATATTTTTAACCGGAGCTATGGCAATCGCTATAAAACTGGCATAATAACTGAAAAGAAAGCAGCTTTCTTCCAAATTGGCCTTTGACTTGATGCTTAATCACATTTCTGACCAGCAGATTTTCGAAAAGGCATATACTGAGAAAAAATGCCTGAAAACGTTTTTTATGAGAATAATATCTGTCAAGAAAAATCGTAAACATTATATTCTAAAGATGGCTCCGAATATGTTGTTTGTACCTTGTATTTTTTTAAAGCATTTCAACCCAAGAAATGCTGGAGTGTCACTAGCACGCAAGGGGTTACAGAGGATTGGAGACAAGAGTAAAGAGGCGTGTTTGGGGAAAAAATAAAGAGAAGGACGGGAAACAAGACCAATGTAATCAGAAGATATCGATTGACATTACACTTAAATATTTGAAGATTATAGTTATCAGGGAAGCAAGTAAGACGAAGAGAATTCCACAGACGGGAAGTGCGAGAAAAGCAAGGAAAATGATATTTCATATCCAGAGCTGTTTGTGAAATCATTCTGTAATGATTCTTTATCATTTGAAAATGCGCATGTTATTAAAAATTCTCCTAGTTTAGTTACATTGGAATGACGCCATTTTCTAATTATTAGACCCAAACATAAATAATATAAGTAGGCAATTAAGTAAGTCAATACTAACGCGTGGGCAAATTAAGTAATTCAATGCTATTTCGTGAGCATAAATAAAGCAACTGAAGAACTGGCCGAAATCCTAACCAAGGTCGACTGCAGTCGGAATTATAAAGTCATTTTAACTTCACAATCTTTTCATTAGCTGCATAGTATGTACTTCACCGAGGCTACATACAGCTTTAATTCATACTTGTCCTTCCTAGACTGGCTGTCATTCAAGGCTGAAGCGCTCAGTTTGTCATACTATTTAACCCATAGTTGGAGGTATTCTTACCTTTCCCAAATGTTTTGCGCGAATGTGAATGTAATGAAACTCAACTGTGATGTGAACTCGCCTATCCTATTTCTAATTCCAACCTGCTATCCGTTACACCACCCGCACATCCGAAAATCCTATGTTATTTATAAAAAAGAAAATCATGCTCTCAATTTGCTGGTTTTTGCATTGGAAATGCAAGACAAAGAGATTGTCAGTGGTCAACAATTAATTTCAGAGTTTCGTACAGAACAGGACTAATATAAGTACTATGTAAATACATTGATAATTATACTGTATGTTTTTGGGGGTTTTTTTTTTATCGAATTCACCCCAAACAAGAGAGTAAAGCCACTAAGACACAAGCGATTTCTGGGCGTTGAAGAATTAGAAAACAGAAACATTACAAAGAAGCAAGAACAAATGAAGTGAAATCAAGAAGACAATAGAAAGCGATTGACATTGCATTTGAAGATTAAGGTTGACTGGAAAGTATGGAACCGGAAGTGAGTTCCACAAGTGGTAAGTTGGAGAAAAGAAATTGTTAGCAACGAACTTAACGGTTACATCTCGCCAACTCAACTGTAAATTGATGAGATCTGGTTATCAGTCGAGTAATGCGCTTAAAGTCTAGGTTACCATAGCGAAGAGCTTATTCAAACAATTGCCATGAAAGTATTTATAGAAAAAATCACTGGAAAGCAACTTTACGGCGGTGGGAAAGTTATTGAACCAATAATATTACTGACTAGCAGTAGAGCCCGGCGTTGCCCGGGGATGTAACAGTAAGAGATAGATCAAGTATAGACCATCATAAAGACTGAAAAAAAAAATTGACAAAGATTATTGTTTAAGGTTGACGGACACGCATGTCTTAATTAGTTTTTTTTTTTGTTTGTTTGTTTGTTTTTTGGGGTTTTTTACGAATTGGTCAAATTCAAACAAAAATATTGTTTTCAATCGTTATGAGTCTATCGATTGAATAGAATTTTATTATAACAATTGTCTTGTAAATGGAATTCTTAAAGCATTCTGAATGTAAAAATAAAGAAAAAAAAGTGTACAAGACAATAAGAAACACTACCTGCCAAAAAGAAAGTGAAGTTTTGTTGAAATCGGTTGAAAAATGTAGGAAATCCGATCCCATATATAAACGAACACACACACACACACACAAACAACCTGAGTTTTATAATAAGTATAACTCGATATGAGTTGTCCCCCTTTCATTCTGGTGACAGAATTGTGTTTTATCGTGTTTTCAAATTGATTTTGTGCAAAAACAATTGTGTTTTTCCCAATTTTGCCGCTGTCAGAACCACCGCAAGGTAATTTTAGGCAGTCCTGTGAAGTTTTGTTGAAATCGGTTGAAAAATGTAGGAAATCCGATCCAATATATAAACGTACACACACACACACACACACACAATCTGCGTTTTATAATAAGTAAGATTCTCCTTTGGCTTTTATCAAGAGTCTCTTAATATATAGCTGGTGTATCAGATCATATGTGGCAGCAATATTCTAAGCATGGACTGGAGAGAAAATTGTCTCGCACGACACAGTGATCCAAATTTCTTATCAGCTGACCTAACAATGGATTCAAACTGTTTAAAATGCGTTTATTATGTTTCCAGTTATTGCGCAACCTGAATCATGGAGAAAATGTTCAAAATGAATGTTTTTATTCGAGTATCTAACAGCGTTGTATATCCTTCTCTTCCGGGGAGGCTTAGGCCACTGTGCCAAATAAACAAAATGTATACACTTCCTTGTTGAAAATGGGTGTTGGTTGATGGTCTTGAGGCGATCATAATAAAGTTGTCTCCTTTTTCTTCTCTCGGCCGGGTGATCGCTTGTTAGTTTTTAGTCCGGGGGTGAAATGATAACTTCAACAAATCGGATTAACTACGTCAACGTGTACATTCTTAACTAGCCAGTGGAGTCGTTCTATCAACCCCACTGCGGAGTAAGTTCCCCGAAACATGAAATAACCACGTCTACTGTGCATGACTCCCGTGAAATCACTTTCTATCTATCTAACATTCCCCCGTTCGGCTAAGCCAATCAAAATAGGCATCCTATTTTGTCTACCATCTGACCTTAAAGGTCAACCTCAGAAGATCTGATACACACTACTAAAAACTAAGTCTGAAACTATTATTTAACAACAGTACTACTCATTTCTTTCTCAATCTCTTTCCCCTGAGCCTGAACTACCCAACTCAGAGATTGGACTATGCCATCCAATTTAACGAACAAAGCTTTCATTCACTCGGCTATGGAGCCTCGTTAATAATAAAAACATAGCTGAGGATATTAATCCGAGTGTAAATAATTATCATTTTTAATAGATACGGACCTAATAAAATTTTGAATAAATGTCACATTTAAATAAAATGTTAAAATTTAAAAATTCTAAATAACGTCAGTGCGTATTATACATGAGAGATTTTATTCCCAGAATTTTATAGCCGGAAGTTAAGGGGGCGTATTATACGCAAATACTTCCCCTATTGTTCACTTTATTTGCTTTCGGACTAACAACCACATCTTTGTTGTTATTACCAAAACCCTCTAGGGAACTAATCATTTCTGAAATTTAAACAGTAACTTCGGTAGATTAAATCAAACCTGACACAAGGCCATATTTTCTCGAGTGCCAGAAGGAAAGCCATGCGTACAGAAATAATTACGTGCTCATTTATTTATACTTGCTCACATGCACGCATTTATGAAGTCTGTCAAAATGCCAACAAGCTTATTCGCCTCCAAAATCTTAAACACACACGCACACAAGCACGCGCACACATACACACACATGCACACGCATTCGCACTATAAAATACCGGGCGTAATGGTTGACACTGTCCACAGGTAATTACAGATTGAAGCTCTCATTTTATAACGACAAAAAAGTAATATTTGATGACAACACCAAAGCCGAACGCGACTGGTGTCTAATAAATGAAAATGGAGTGTCCTGCTAACTTGTGACGAAATTGGCTGCACCCGACGTCGGAGCTGTATGATTAGCCAATACCTTAATTGTCATTATCGGTGGAATCAGCGGCATTCAGCGGACACGGAGAAATCGCTGAATGTTTTCACTATGATTTTTCGCGCCAATTTCCGAAAACGAAGCGGAGACCAAAACCTTTAATAATAGAGATTTCTCTTAAATACCAGATCCGGGTATTTTATTTTATTTTTCATTTTACTTTTTTATTTTTATTTATTTTTTTTGTTTTTGTTTTTTTACGTTTATGTTTTGGAAACAGAAAATGCGAGCAAATGAGAAAGTTAAAAGCGGTAAGAAAATCCAAAGTAAAAGAAAATGAAACGAATTTGTTATTAGAGCGTAAACAATTCTGTGTGTACAAGCGAAGGACCCACCCACTCTCTTTCATTCCCTCACTCTCACTCTCTCGTTCTGTTTCTACAAGCGGAGAACCCTCTCTCTCTCTCTCTCTCTCTCTCTCTCTTTTTTTTCTCTCTCTCTCTCTTTCTGCGTCTACATGCGGAGAAACTACGCTTACTCTCTTTCTGTGGCTACAAGCGGAACAACCCCCACTCTCTCTTTCTGTGTTTACAGGCGGAGAACCCACCCTCTCGCCCTCTCTCTCTCTCTCTCTCTCTCTCTCTGTTGTTCTGTGTCTACAAGCGGAGGAATCTCTTTCTCTCTTTTTCTCTCCCTTTTCTGCGACTACATGCGGAGAAACTACCCTCGCTCTCTGTGTCTACAAGCAAAGAACTCCCTCTCTCTCTCAGTGTTTACAGCCGGAGGATCCCCCTCTCTCCCGTCTCTCGCCTACTCTCTCCCCCTCTCTCGCTTTCCCCCTCTCTCGCTTTCCCCCTCTCTACGCCTCTCCTTCTCTCTCTCTCTCTCTCTGTGTTGATCTAACCTACATAGCTGTTAGATGCAACGTGCGGAGTCGGCCTAACGGTCAAAATCACAGTAAATGGAATCGGTGAACCGAGTTCAAATTCCCCTTGAAGTACTTACGCCACAGCCAAACTTTTTAAAGCATATAACCCAGGAACTTGTTATGTTCAACAGATGATGAGAACCACAAACAAAATCCAGTTGCTCTACGAAATACCATGAACGAACCTCAACTAGTTCTTGGTGGAGAGTGAGATTGAATTGTTTTTTATGTCTTATCAACCTCTTGTGGGTTAGTTAAAGCCAGAAAATATTCTTATATTGGAGGGATTTTTGGCGATAATAATGATTTAGTGATACAAGATCTACTAACTAACCCATAGCTGGGTGGAGAAGATGTAGATTCATACCTTTTCCCTAAGGGTATTTGCGCGTAAGCGAATATAACGAATCCGACTGGAATTGGAACTCGGCTCTCCGATTAACACTTCCGAGCCATTATCCACTACACCACCCGCACATCCAAACTTTCAGCACCCGGTATTCCTAAGCGGTCACCTATCTACGTACTGACCAGGCCCCACGATGTTATTTAAACATGATATGGCCATAATTGTTAGTGGGTGATGTTGGCATCATTGTTAACAAACAAAGAAAATGGAATTGATAAATCGATTTCAAATTGTGGTTCAGGTAATTCATAATCACATCGTACAACAATACTCTAAGACTACCATAGCCTTTTGTGTTAGGTCGATTAAGCTGGTTAGTCAAACGGCATAGTAAAGCTTGTTGTTCTATTTTATGTGAACCATAAGTTTTATTGAACAAAAATCACAAACAATCAGCAGAAAAGGTAGGCCCAGGTCCGGTTCACCCTAGAATCAATAAGTCAAATGCATGACGCGTTTACACTGGAGTCAAAAAGTTGAACCTATATCCAACTTGTACTAGAATCAAAAACCAGGTTCAATGTGCACTGGAACCAAAATGATAGATCTATATCCACTTTGCACATAAATAAAATAAAAAAAAAGTAAATATGTTTCAAGTTTATAAATGAGAAAAGAATGCAACGGCCTCAGTTGCAATTTGAACTCCTCGTATCAATCACACTCTCGGTGCTGATAACAGTTACGCTATCCGCACATCCATAAGCGGGAGAAGGCGATCTTTGTTATAAATAAGCGAGAGAGACAAAAGTTCTGAAAATTGTCGAGTAAGAAAGTCGACACGACAAAAAAAAAATGAGCCCAAAATAATCCTGCAGATCAGATAAAGGGTTTCATTCGAATTTCTCTTGAAAATAGTAGCTTGAAGATTGTGTTACCATTGATTGAATAAAGGGTTACATTTGAAGAAGACAACATATTAGAGATAAAGAAAGAGAAAAAAAACTACATCAATAGTTCAACTGAAAGGCTCCGTTCGACATTCTCGAAAGGTTATCTGATGCTATAGACGAGCGACAAACATAACATCGAATTTCATTTGCCCGATAACTGGCTTCACCGAAAGCGTTAAACCGACTATTCACTTCGTCGTATGGATCATTTAAAAATCAAAATATTTAAAGTTAGATAACTGAATAGTGTTGTTTTATATTATATATAATTGCCAACCAATGCTTGAAAGCCGAGTTGGCCTTGCTATTAAATCTTAGTTGAGGAGGAAGTGGAATTCATACTTTCCAAGAAAAGTGCACGCAACAGAAATGTGGTTCTACAGAAGGGTTTTGAGAATTCCATGGATGAAATGAGTAAGCAACGAGTAAGTCTTAAAGAAAAAGGCAAGAAAAAGAACACCCAGAATCAGAAAGAGCTTATATTTCTTGTACATCTAATAAGGAAGGAGGGATCAGAAAACTTAACCGTCACAGGGCGTATTGAGGGCTAGAAAAAGTCAGAGAGCCACCTACCTCACGAGCTTATATGAATAGATGGCGAAATGAAAGATGGTAGAGAAACTACTAAGGGCCACTAAGAATAGGAATTTTTGGAGAGCGGTATACTGTAATACCCCATGTATAATACGCCTTCATCCATAATACGTACACCTAAAATTGTCCTGAGGAAAGGCATAATACGTACCCCTTGTTATAGTACCTCTCCAATTTCATTACGGCGAGCGTTTCCTACTATTATCAAATAAATGCTTTTAAACGTAGAATAATATTATTCTAATTTAGTTTTATGATAATTCTTATTTTATTTTACGACAATTTTTAAATATTTTTTGTAGCTGTGCATAATACGCACCCCTGATTTTACTTATTATTTTTTAGAAATAAATGCGTATTATACAGTGTAACCCGGATATAAGAGAGTTGTCGGGACCGGAGAAGAAATCTCTTATATCCGGTTTTCTCTTATATCCGGGTTTGGTATATTTTATATACATTAACACAGGCTCTAATTTGGGACCAGAGAAAATCTCTCTTATACCCGGGTTTCTCTTATATCCGAGGCTCTTATATCCGGGTTACACTGTACATGGGAAATTACGGTATTGACCATATCCTGAAGGGACACGGCATATTAGAATTTGTGCGACAGCAGCAGCATAGGTGGGAATTTGAACTCGACACGCAAATGCAATTTTTCGCGCTAATAGCCGCTACGCTATGCGAAATTCCATTTATGTATCTATGTATGTATGTGGATATGTGTGTGGGAGACAGAAAAAATACTCTTTTATTTAAGCACGTAAATAAAAGAGTATTTTATTTTAAAAGAGTATTTTATTTACGTGCATAAATAAAAGAGTGTTTTTCTCTCTCCCACTTGTGTGTACGTATACGTATCTTGCGAATATGAACATTTTTTTTTAATGTTCGCGCAACTTAATTTCAAATGACAACGAAGTGGAGTAGATAACGCCACAAAAAGACGACCATCTGGGACGAATAATGACAGGGACAATTTAGTCTTATCATTATCCATCCGATTATCGTATTTGTTTTTATCTTCTTCTTTTCTGTCATTACAGGTCAAGTATCTTCGTCCTTAAAATTCTAATGATTAAAAAGTCGTTGCTTTTTATTCGTTTCCTTATTTTTGGACATATTTTTTTTTATCTCGTCAGTGTCTATCTTATCAGTGAAATTAGTTTAAAAAATGTCGTTTTAAAATGTAACAACAGCAGGTTTGAAAGAAGGACGTGCTGGGGGTAGTGAAATGATGTTATGATGAGTTTTATCATACGTTTGTCCACTACTTGCTCGAGTGATAATAAAAATAAAACTGATAATTATATATATATATATATATAATGGTGGATAAAATTGTGGCAAATCTTCTAATCATAATTTTGATAGATTTGATGGATCTTTGGGACAGCAGCGATAAGAAACCATAACATAGCTGATGGCACTAGAGTAAAAAAGCATCAGACTTCTGAAAAGAAATATGAGAACAGAATGTCAATTTTGAAATATTTTAATAAATAAATATTTTCTATTAAACTATCAAAATGGTTTAATTCTTTCTGATACTATAAAGGGATTTGTTTCGATTCTCAATTGAAAAGAAAATAAGTAGAATAGATTCCTAAAGATTACACGCCTTTATAGAACTGGTTCCTGGAAATTTAGAATGACACCACTCATATATATATATATATATATATATATATATATAGATATAGATATAGATATAGATATATATAGAGAGAGAGAGATAGTGAGAGAGAGTGAGAGATAGAAAAGCTGAAATATTGAAACATATATATATATATATATATATATATATATATATATATAATATATATAATATTCCATGGTCATAATTTATTCCATTGGAATCGTATGAAATAAATTATGACCATGGAATATTAGTGTTTAAGCCTTTTTATTATATCCTTACTCTATCCTGGACATTGAGTTCTACCTGGATTCTTCCTCTTGGAATTTTTATTAAAAAAATATACATGTATGGGTATTTATATATTTTGCATATATGTATACTTACCACTAATATCTATCTATCTATATATCTATATATCTATCTATCTATATATCTATCTATATATATATATATATATATATTTATTATCGTATATTACATTCGAATATTTGTTAAACCGCTACATAAATGCATTCATGTTTCGATTCATATCATCGCATCTTATCAGGTCGTAATAAATGAGGGTTTTTACAATTTGTAATATTTACCTACGAACAAACAATCTTTTTTCCCGCGAAAAAGAAAAAAGAAAAGAAAAAAACGCAAAGAAGAAAGACGTAAGATGTAGTTTCCCTAAAAAGAAAAAGAAAGATATACCGCATCTAACAGTAAAATTATCCAAATTAGCTTTTGCTGGAATTCTCCTAGGTTTTTATAACACTATTGAACACTACTTTGAACAATAAGAATGTATTTAGCTTTAAGTTGAAATGATGATCTCTCTTGCTGTTGCGAGCTCCTCATCCAGGTTTCCTCTCTACCGTTCCCTCTTTTTTTTAAACTTATTCAGCATTCTCTTGATGGTTCTTGAATAGACTTTGACGATGTAAGCCAGAGTATAAAAGTTGGTACAATTACTGGAGCCCTGAATAATCTTTTTCCACTCACAATTGCTCAATTGGGAAGGCAGTGGGGCTGACATAAAACGATTTTAACCTGCTCTCTTTTTACCTGAATAACTCAAAGGATTTTTCAATGAAAAATGGTGTCAATATAGCTAAACACCTTACCTGAAAACCTGGAAAAGGAAATAGTTGTTCTTTAGATATTAAACATTTTGTGGGCTGTACAATTATGCTGTTACACCCGGTATATATATATATATATATATATATATATATATATATATATATATATATATATATATAGATAGATAGATAGATAGATAGATAGATAGATACAAGCCTTACTTTCCCTGACAATCCGTTTAGGTGAAACCTAGGTAGGTTTGTCTGGCTCACTAGGTGTATCTAGGTCTGCTCTACGGTTGTATTGAGCTCTTTTGTTAGTTAGTTGTTTACTCGTATCGGGGTTTTTTCTTTGGGCTTCA